TCGGCGAGAAGGCCCGTGTCCGGCTCCACGCCCCTGGGCAGGAAGCCCTCGATGACCCACTCCTCGCCTTCCGCGCGCCGCAGCATGCCGGCAGCATCACTCCCCTTTATTCTGATCCAACCCATCCGCTCAGAAAAACCAACGAAGATATTTCAATTCCTGCACACTTGCCGAGTGTCACCGAGAAATGGCGACGCGACTCGCCCCACACAAACCCACCCCAACAAAAAAACGGCGAGCAAAACGCAAACCTTCAGTCAACCTCTTCGAACAAAACAGCGACGACGACTCGCCAAAACACTTACCGTCACGCGTGCGAACCGTGCCACGAGGGCCTTCGGTGAAATTCCCTGACTCTCCATATGAAGCCACGCACAGTGTGAGGGGCGTGCCAAAACTGGACTTGGGACGCATGTGGGCCCTGCTATTGAGGCTTCGGTGAAGCTCCCTATGAGGCCACGAACCGCGTGCGTGTGCGCGTGCCCAAATTTGCCAGGGGACATATGTGAACCCTGACACTGGGACCTTCGGCGGCGCCCCCCATGAGGCCACGCGCCCCAAGGAGGCCCCCGAGCAAGCCGCGGTCCGCATCGCGCGCCCGACAAGGACGCCGAGGAACCCCGGACAAAAAACGGCGACGAAAGATCCTGCGAAGACTTAGTGCGCTCCCCGAGAAAACGAGAAACGGCGACGCCCGACCTCGGGGGGGTACCCACTGGAGGCTCCGTTGAGGGGGGTGATCCGGCAGCCATCGCACTCACGCCCCCGGGCAGGAAGCCCTCGACGACCCACTTCTCGCCCTCTGGGCGCCGCCGCATGCCGGCGGCCATCGCACTGTCGGCGGCGGCGTGCGCATCGACGCCCCTGCTGGAGCAGGCGCTCTTGCAGCACCTGCGGCTGCGCTCCGCACGCTTCGTCGGCGGGCGGCAAGGTTCGGTGCCCCGACGACCGTGGACGAGTGGTCGGTGGCCGGCACCCAGTCGCCCGCCCTCTTGCCATGGCTGGGTACCCAGTGGGCAGCGCACCCGTCAGGGAGCTGCTGGGCTGGGCGGGCAATTTCGGCCCAGTCCCCGAGCCCGTAGGCCTGGGGTCGAGGGCAGCCCTGGGGGGCCTCGGCGAGACCCTGCTGCACCCGACGTCGAAGCGCACCTCCGCGCGCACTGCGGCCAGCAGCAGGACCATGGCCGCCTCACGCCCTGCCATGGCCGAGGATGTATCCAGGCTGGCGACTGCACCGCTGGCTACAGCCGGGGGGCGCGTCGGGCAGCTGGACAGCGACGGCCCAGCCAGCTCTTTTGAGTCGCTGGCGTCAGAGGCAGCCACAGCCCTTCCTCCTCGCACCGCGGCCGCGGTGAGCGCCTGCGCCAGGGACTCGACCGCCGCGCGGCGCGCGTTGGGCTCCAGGGGCGTAGGCCGAGGGATCGGCACGACTCTGACGGCCACGGCGTCCTCCAATCCGCAGGCAGGATGGGGGCAGAGGCGGCGCCCCCCTCGCGTCGTGGGGCACTCCTGGAGCCAGTGGGAGCGCTTGGCCGCCCCGCCGCAGCGACACTGCACCTGGGCCTTCCCCAAGCCGTCTCGCTTGGCTCGCACAGCCTCGATGGCGTGGTGGTCGTAGCTGCAGCCAGGGGCGGCGCGCCAGCAGACGCCGTCCCCGCTCCCAAAGCGCTGGAGCAGCTGCGCAAGTCGCCACCTCGCCGTCGAGCAGGGCCGCCCAGGTGGCAACGTCCTCTGCTCTTGCCTCCTGGGCCCAACAGCGGCCTGCGCGGGAGCGCCAAGCAAGGCTCTCGAGGGCGCCCTGGCCCAATCGGGTGATGTCCACCTCCCCCTCCCTCGCAACGCAGCGCGCGACGCAACCCGGCGCCTCCTCGTCCTCCCCTGGGCGTGGCTGCCAGTCCCACCTGCGGGAGAATTTCGCGCCCTCTCGGGGAGGTGTCCGCGCGAACCTCCAGCCCTCTAGCCCTGCGGCGCCGTGAGTAAGTTCTCGGGGGTGTACCCGCGCGAACCTCCAGCCATCTAGCCCTGCGGCGCAGCGAGTAAGTCCGCCGCCCCCTGTGACTTGACACAGGGGTGCACGGCGTGCTGGGACGCCTGGGAGGTTTTGGTTATTTCAGATATCCATGTGACCTTCGGCCCAGCCCGCCACCGTGTCCAAGACGACCCCTCACATCTGCACAACGCCGCCTCCAAAACGACCAAGACGACCCAAGATGGCCTCCCCGACGGGCTTCCACAACTGCGGGGGGAGCGCATGGTCCAATAGCGTGGCCAAACTTTGCTCAAACGTTTGGCCACATAGGCGCGTCCTACAAGGCAGGGGGCGGGACTCGCCGTAGGCGTCTTCGGCAATTCAGTAAGAGCGCAAGTCAATAAATGACCTTTGAATGCAGCAACCGGCCAAAAGTAATTAAACTTCACAGCGAAAAGAAAGCCACTAGATTACCCCGCCTCCTGCTTTTGCTGTTGCTACTCCACGCCCCATGCTCCCACGCAAAGCTCGGCAAGGCGCCCCCCTGGATCCTGAAGCTCCCGCCGCGTGGCGTTGCCGCGGTCCTGCGTTGGGCGGGCGATCTGGCCCCCTCCTCCCCCTCCTCCTCCTCCTCCTCCTCCTCCTCCTCCTCCTCCTCCTCCTTCTCCCCCTCCTCCTCCTCCTTCTCCTGGTCCTCCTCCTCCTCCTCCTCCTCCTCCTCCTCCTCCTCCTCCTCCTCCTCCTCCTCTCTCCCCTGCCCCCTCCCCCCTCCCCCTCCCCTCCTTCTCCTTCTCCTCCCTCCTCCTCCTCGTCCTCCTCCTCCTCGTCGTCCTCCTCCTCCTCCCTCCTCCTCCCCCTCCTCGTCCTCCTCCTCCTCCTCCTCCTGCTCCTCCACCTCCTCCTACTCCTCTTCCTCATCCTCCTCCTCCTCCTCCTCCTCCTCCTCCTCCTCCTCCTCCATTCCTTCTCCTTATAAATAACTTCTCCCTGTCGCACCCCGAGGCCAGCTTTTAGGGCGGGCCGGACGTTTCGCCCGAGATTTCCTCACCATTTGTGGCTCTGAAGCTTACAAAGTGGCAACAGTTTCACAGATGGAGGGCGGGTGGCTTTCAAAATGTGGCTTTCGCCTTAGCGACGCGCGCATTCGTTTTGAAGATGTGCAAGAGCTTCGCAGATTGAGGGCGGGTCATTTTCAAAATGTCTCGTCTCAGCGCCGCGCACATTCGTTTCAAACATTGCAAGAGCTTCACGGATTGAGGGCGGGTCGTTTTCAACATGTGGCTCTAGCCTTAGCGCCGCGCACATTCGTTTAAAACAACATGCAAGAGCTTCACGGATTGAGGGCGGGGCGTTTTCAAAACGTGGCTCTCGCATTCGCGCCGCGCACATTCGGCCTAAAAATGCAAGAGCTTCACGGATTGAGGGCGGGCCATTTTCAACATGTGCCTCTCGCCTTAGCGCGGCGCTCATTCATTCTAACAATTTGGAGGAGGTTCACGGATAGAGGGTGGTTCCTTTTGAACATGTGGCTCTCGCTGTAGCGCCGTGCTCATTCTTCCTCAACATTTGCAAAAGTTTCACGGAATCCCATGATCAGCGTACCCAGAATGGTGCTTGGGAAAGATTCTGGATTATGCGTGTGCAGCAATTATGGTGGTTCGTGGTGTTGAAGTCCCCAAAAAACGGCCTTCTGGCATGATTCCGGATCGTCAAGACGCAGCAGTCAGGTGGATCCGTGGCGTTGAAATCCCGAGAACAATGTTTTGGCATGCTTCAGGGTCTTCAAACGGTCGTCTTCCAACGGGGCAGTTCCCTCAACAGGAATGAACCGTTGCTGGGGCCTTTGAACAGGAAGCTTGGAGGCAGGGTTAGTTCCAACATCGTTGATGACTCTTGGGTCTACACTGGTCCTCCTCCTCCTCCTCCTCGTCCGCGTCCTCCTCCTCCTCCCCCTTCTCCTCCCCGTCCTCCTCTTCCTCCTCCTCCTCCTCCTCCTCCTTCTCCTCCCCCTCCCCCTCCCCGTCCTCCTCCTCCTCGTCCTCGTCCTCGTCCTTGTCCTCCTTCTCCTCCTCCTCCTCCACCTCCTCCTCCTCCTCCTCCTCCTCCTCCGTCCTCCGTCCTCCTCTTCCTCCCTCCTCCGTCCTCCGTCTTCCGTCCTTCCTCCTCCCTCCCTCCCTCCCTCCCTCCTCCCTCCTCCCTCCTCCCTCTTCTGTCCCTCTCCCTCCTCCTCCTTCTCTTCCTCCTCCTCCTCCTCCTCCTCCTTCTCCTATTCCTTTTCCTCTCCTCCTCCTCCTCCTCCTCATCCCTCTTCCTCCTCCTCCTCCTCCTCCTCCTCCTCCTCATCCTCCTCCTCCTCTTCCTCCTCCTCGGCCTCGTGCCTTCAGATCTTGCTCGGCTTGCGCCGCGCGAGCGAGCCTGCGGGGGCGCGGGCGCGGCGCCGGGTCGGCAGAAGGCTGTAGGGGCGGGGGGACGGGGACGGGGAGTGAAGGAGGGGGGAGGGAGGGGAGGGAGGCGAGACAGAGATGCGAGACGGAGAAGCGAGACGGAGAGACGAGACGGAAACGTGAGACGGGGAGGGGAGGGAAGGGAGGCAGGAATGGGGGACGGAGGGAGGGGGGGGAAGGGGGGAGTGTGTGGGAGATGCGGGGTGGGGAAGGAGGGAAGGGGGGCGGATGGAGGGAAAGGGAGGGGAATGGGCGAGGAAGGGGGAGGAGACGTGGAGGCAAGATAGGTGCGGGCGGGCCACAAATCTGATACGCTACCTCTCCCATCCATCCGTTCCCGCCAGAAACCCCTCAGAATCTGGCGACCCATGGGCTTCCCATAATTTGCGGCGGCTGGAGGGGTCCAGATCCCAAAATATGCGAACGAAACCCATCGGCTGCCAGATTCCCAAGGGAATCTGCTGGCCGATGGGTTCCCCATACTTCCGCGGAAACTGCACTGGAAAAATAATGTTTCGCCCGATTCCCTAGAGGTTTCTGGCGATTGTTTTCGTCTGGCGGGCGAGGGGCAAGCTGAGCGCCTCTTTTCCTGGTGGTGCTCCTCCCGCGTTTTTGCAGCAACAGCGCCAGCCTTGTGACGCGGGGTGAGGTCCCCGTTGCAGCTTCACCCTTCGCGGGCGGTCCTCCGTCCCCGGCGCCCGGGGAGCAAAGCAGTCAGGCGCGGTCTGGTTTAAGTGTGGCGTCCGTGGGCCCAGGAGACTGGGGTCCTCCTCGCTGGCACCGTCTTGTTTTGGAGGCTGTACGCAAGAGCGGCCTTATGAAAGACGCTGCCGGTGTGCCTTGCCGGAGGCGCGACTCCCGGCCAGGGCGGGGGCGGTCCTGCCATTGAGTTGTCCTTTTTGTCGGGCGGGGTTTAAAAACCAGTGCGTAGGCCAGTTGTGGCAGGCTATTGCGCCAGGAATTGGGACACTGCCCTTCCGCTATGCCTGACGTTGGTTCCGATAATATTCTTTGGGTGGCTGTCCCCGGCCTCCTAATCCGGAGGTCTTTTCATTTGCTCTTTTTTGCCGGGCCCCTGGTAGAGACACAGGGACCTGGGAGCAGATCCTCAGGAGTATGCTGTGCTTCGCGCGTCGCGCTGGCTCTGGCTCTTTCTGCTCCTTGGCGGTGGCGACACGCTGGTCCCCGTGGTATTGCAGCACGCTGCCGGCTGCTTCTGCATGCGCTGCCAGCCGTCGCGCGCAGACAGGGACATGGCAGCGAAAATTGCGCAGACCAGGCGGCGCCTCCTCGACCCGCGTCGCCCCACGCATGTGTCCGGGACGCTGATCGACCGCGCCCTCGCCTTGGAGGGGCGGGCAGGGTCGGCCAGCACGCACGCGCGCAGTGCCGGTGGCTCGGACAACTTCCCGTGGCTTGCTGCCCTTTCTTTCGTTTCGGGCCGGTCAGGCCCCCCAGCTGTGGCGCGAATCCGGTGGGCGCGAGGCGGCTGGGAGCAGGCGCGGGAAGAGGTGGGGCCTGCTCTAGCCGAGCTGGCAAGCGCGCTCCTGCCACTGCGGTCCACGGTGGCGCTGCGGCCTGCGCGGTTGGGGGGTCCACGCCGCTGCGCCAGCGCCGCGTGATTCTGGATGCGGCTACTCGGCTCAGGGATAGTGCGTGCGTTGTTGTGGGCTGCGGGGGAGCGGTGGCGGTCGCCAAGGCAGGGGGCGCGGCGCGACCCTGGCGCGACGGGGTGCAGCCCGGAGAGGCAGTGTCATCTTTCGAGGGCGCTGTGGGCTGGGCTGTCGATCGCGCAACGGGTGGCGGTCGATTCCTTCACAGAGCTGCGGCGCAAGTCCGCCTTCTGTTGTGGGAACTCGACACGCGGGCGGGTTTCAAGATTGCCCCTGTGGATCCGGATTGCGGTCGCCTGCTTCGCGGGTGCGACGCTCACCACGGCTCTCGTCACGGCTCTCGTCGACCTCGGCCAGCCTTCGGCCCTGACAGCCACGCCATGGTCGATGCAGGTGTGTGCGCCGTTTTGCAAAGCAGGGCCGCGCACGGTCCGGTGGATTCAAGACCTCCGGCCCAGCTCCATTTCATATGTTTGGGCCCACGTGCAGGACGCCTGGTGGAGGGCACGCCACGCGGACAAGATTCAAGCTTGCTGCTGTCCCGGGCAAAGGTGTGGAGTGCCCGACCCCATGTATTTTTATCATTAGGATTATGGTTATGATTCTGGTTCTGATTATGATCATGATTATGATTCTGATTAGTATGATGATGATGGTGATGATGATGATTATTATTATTCTTAATATCATTAATCTTATTATTAATAATATTATTATTATGATTACTAGTATGGTTATGATTATTATTATTATCATTATTATTATTACTCGTATTATTATTCTTATTACTATTACTACTATTAGTATTAATCTATGTACTATTATTATTATTATCATCATCATTATTATCAGCATTATCATTGTTATCATTTTTTATTGTTTAATAGTATTATCATTATTAGTATTAGTAGTCTTATTATTCTTCTTATTCTTATTATTACTCTTATTATAAGTATTACTCTTATTATCAGTATTATGAGCATTGTTGTTGTTATTATTGTTACGGTTATTATAATTCGTATTATTAGTATTACTATTATTAGTATTATTAGGATTATTATTATTACTACTACTATTAGTATTAGTATTAGTATTAGTATTAGTATTAGTATTAGTATTAGTATTAGTATTAGTATTAGTATTAGTATTAGTATTATTATCATTATTAATACTATTATTATAAGTATTACTATTATTACTATTATTATTACTACTATTATTATTATTATTGGGGAAGCCTTTTCAGGTGAGACGGGCCAGCGCCTGTGGATCCATAAGAGCACGGGCGCCAGCCAGACAACTGAGCCCCCTGAGGTAGCGGCGCACCTAGCTCAGGTTGCCGGGTTACGTGGTCGCCTTGCTATGCTGGAGAGCCGCGCCCCCGCCTCGTGCCCGCTCCTCGGGCAGCCGCCTGCAGCGTCTACGCGAATTGATCCCGAGTCGCGGGTTATCGCCCCTGGTGACACCCGCGCGCGGAGCCCCGCGACACCGCGCCCGCCGCCGCCGTTCGCATTGGTGACTGGCGACTTTAACCAGCCAGCTTTGGAGGTTACGTTCCGGGTGAGCCCCTTAGCCAAGTTGACCATCCAGCTTGAGAACAAAAGGAAGGGCCTCGTGAAGGTCAAAGGAAAACGGTCTGTCTTGGAAGCGAACGTGGAGGAGCTGCTCATGTCTTTCGGGCCGGTGGCGGGGATCAAAGCCGCCATGCCCCCTGCGCAGCACGCTGACGACGATCAGCCGGTCGTGCGCCACACCGTGTGATTCGCACTCAGCGAAAATGGACTTTGTCCATTGGAAGAGGACAAGAAGAGGTGGCAAATGAAGCTGAAGATGGGCCAGGGGAAGAGCAGGATGATGAGAAAGGGGAAGACGTAGCAGCAGATGGAGGAAATTACATGCAATGACGCGACATGCCAAATGAGGAGTGTACGGCAAGAAAAGCAACAAACAAAGTTCGAGCAGAAACGCTCGGTAACGCGTAAAATGTTGGGGATCAGGGGTCGCCGGGGAGCTGGGCCGACTGGCCGACTCGGGAGGCCCGCAAACTATCCCCGAGAACGAGCAGCTACGCCCTGCTCCTTCAACCGAATTCGCTCCGTCAAAGCTGACATACGCTGCTCGTAGGAGGGAGGCGAGTCCGAAGCCGAACAGCGAATCCGAACAACGGAGGGTGCACTCGAGGTCCGAGGGGCGTTGGTGGAAGGCTCGACATAGGCACATTTTTGTCGACATAGGCACATTTTTGTCGATAGGGACCGCCCTCCACGTTTCAAACGAAAAATATGCTGTTCACGGGACGTGGAACGACGCGACACCGACGGATTCGAGGCGTCAGTTTCTCGAGCCAGCGCCGCAGTCCAGGCGGCGATAAGGTGGCCCATGGGATCGCCGAACAGTTTTTTTCAAAACGGGTGGCAGACCATATCGCCAGATATCGCCAGCCCATGGGGAGCTGTTCGGTAGCTCCCTCAGCGAGAGCCAGGCAGAAACGCCACGGTAAGCCTAGCCCGCCCTCTTGCCAACCGCGCCAAGTCGCTGGCCGAAAGGAGCGGCCCGAAGCAAACCCGCGTGGACGTTGCCACCGAACATCGTTTTGGAACTGGGGCTGGACCCCCGCGGCAAGTTTCATGAACCACGAGGCCCGCTGGCCCGCCAAATCCAAATTCTGCAAAAGCTTGGGCAGCGGGCTGGGGCGACGATCGAATAGTACCTTTGCCTGCTTGTCCACCGCCGCGCTCGCGACTGCAAGCGCGCGATCAACTCCTTCAAGATCTGCAATCGCCCCTTTAGAGCGGCGCGCAATCGCCCCTCAGAGCGGCATGCCCTTTAGCGCGCCCCTCCAGCTGGAGGGCTAACTTCCGCAATCCTGCGAATTTACTCGAGGCAGATATTGGCGTGCGACCTGCTGCTGGGAGATGCGCACTGCTGCTAGACAATATGATGCCAACTCTGCTTCCCTCGTGGCTACGCGGCCGCACCTCGCTATTCCTGCATGCTCCGCCATCGCTGGTGTCTGAGGGAGCTGTCCTGGCACGACGCCCCTCGCGAGGGCGACGGGGTCACCGCCCTCGTCTGGACAGACTCCGATTGCCCGCGACGTTCGGCGAAACGGGCGCAGCAAGGGCTTGCTGCACGAGCCGTCGGGGGCGAGGCGCAGGGGGGCAGCGGCGATGAGGGAAGCATGCTGAGGCGGTTCCAAGTCTAGCGGGTCGCCGTTGCCATCGAGAACATCGCACTCCGTCGACGCGCACGGCCTCGGCAACTCACCGTTCGGGCACGCGTGAACTCCGCTAATGAAAATTGGCACATCGGGGCTGTTGCTGGCGACTTCCAGAAATTTAAAGAGCACCTCAGCATTCTGGCGGGCTTCTACTACTCTAGCTAACTGACATTTGTAGAGCCTGTAGTGGATTGCGCCCACTTCCCCGCACTCGCGCAAGCCGTCGCGCGAGCAACCCGCCCTCTGAGCTCGATCGTTGGTCTACCAATCGATTGCGCGAACAGCTCTTGATCAATTATTTGAGATTTGTAAGACTTGCGGGCCTTGGAAACGACTCGACCTCGAATCGAATCTAGCGTGGCTCGGGTTCCGTGGAATGAACCTAGCTTTCTAGCCAGCGTGAACTCTCTCGGCCTCTAACCCCCGACCTCAAACACGTCGGCGAGGGGGGCCAGGGGCGCGGGGGCCACGTCAATGCGCGCTTTGTTTTGTCGCGCCAGCTCAAAGGGCCCTCGGCCCGCCATCCATTTTCATGCGCTGACGGAGAGAGAGAGGGAGAAAGAGAGAGAGAGAGCGAAAGAGAGAGAGAGAGAGAGACAGACAGACAGACAGACAGACAGACAGACAGACAGACAGACAGACAGACAGACAGACAGACAGACAGCGCAGGGAGAGACGCAGCATCCCAGCACATTCTACATACGCCTTTGGATTGCAGGCGCCATGGCTAGCTTAGCGGTGCTATCCCCGTTTAAAGCGACTTTCGCAGACAGGGGGGCGCCTCCGCGGGGTGGGGGGCGGGGGGATCTGATCGAGCAACTAATCTTTCAACTCCGAAGCACTGAGCCCCAGGACTTCAACCCCGAACCTACTTGCTGGGGCGATGCACAACCCATGGATCTTTTTGAAAGGGGTCTCCTTGGGGTCCTTGAAGCGCTTCCAAAAAGATCTGGCCTTGCAAGCTATTTTTCTCATGGCTGCGAAACGCGACTTCTGCTTCACTCGTACATGCTGGCCCTCGCCGGCCCCCGGGACCGTCAAAAAGCGACTCAGGATGAAAAACCAGCCCCGGGGAAAGAGCCTGGACTTCCGGGGACGCCGTCCTGGAAAAATCAGGACGTCGCATGTCTGGGAGCGGATCCCCGTGCAAAAAACAAGACGGTAATCATATCCACAGCATCGGAAATCGCGTCCGCGCGGACGAAAATCGGATCCGCCGCAGCATAAATCAAAACTAAATTTGGACCCGTACCAACTTCATTGGATCCAAGGTGTACCTCATGTGGGCCCAAGAAGAAACAGTTTTTGTCCCAGGGATGTCTCTACTCAGTTACCCCGTCTCTGCCGTATGTGAAACGAGAGACGCGGAGCTCCCTAGCTGGCTGGACGCCCCCAGAAGATCACGTCCCCTGTGAGGCGTGGGACCTCGAGGGGAAGGGTGCTGCCTCGGACTGCATCTGGTCCCTCCCTTGCCCTCATCCCCCGTGCTTCGACGGGCATACAGTCAGCCCGCATCATGAGGACACGCGGTAAGGATGCAAGGGCCTTGGAGGCCCCTGCGGCAGCTTTTCGAACGAGGCTGGCCAACGAAAGTCGCTAAGGACGGGCCGAATGGGGCAAAAATGCAAGGGTACCCTTGGGAAGGCTGCCCATCCGTACTATTAAGTCGGGCGTGTCCCTCTGCAGGAGGAATGTTCAAAAATAGTAGAAAAATAAGATGGGGACTATTTTTTGATTGTGTTTTGACTATGTGGGGGCGAGGCGAGGCGAGGCGAGGCGAGCGCACTGTGACCGGCCGGAGGCCGACCCGCGAGGGGTGGAGTGCAGGGGCCGCAGCCCTCACTAGTGCTCGTAGGCAGCGAACTCATTCTCTAGGTCGTGCCAGTGGCCCGGAAATTCGTACCATGAGCCCGGAAATTCGCACCATGAGCCATGACTGTGTGGGGGTACTTTGCAAATGTGTATCACTTTTCGCCCAAGATCCGCCTGCAGGGGGACACGCCCGACCTAATACTATGCGTGTTGACTGCGTGGAATCGCCCAGGCTCTGGCCCTCGGGCCCCTGGGCAGTGAGCCGGCGCAGGCGAGGGCGCCACGAGCCGGCTGGAAACCGGACCAGCGCGGGGCCCACACCCCTCTGCGGCTGCGTGCAGCGTGGAGCGCAGCGGCGGGAGAGGCGTGCTTAAGATTGGAGGCCTGGGAATGGGCGCCAACATCAGCACAGGGGGTTTGCCACCACAGGGGGAATATGATCACCGATGTCGGTGTTGGTGGTAATCTTTCGGCCACCTGGGAAGCCCAAATATTACCACCATCACCGAGATCGGGATCAGATTCCCTCGGTGGAGGCACACCGCCGATATTGGTGTTGGTGTCAACCTCTGGGCCTCCGATAAGACAGTGCGCGGGGCTCGCTGCTGGGCACGAAGCTGGTGTGGGGTGTACCGAAGCGGGTGCGGCGACGACGTGCGGACACATCCGCCAGGGGCGTCGTTTTAGGTCGGGCGTGTCCATCTACAGGCGAATTTTGGGCGAAAAATTAAAACTTTACAAATACCCCGAACGAATCAAGAAATGATCAAAAAATCGTACCCATACTATTTTGTGATTATTTTTGAATATCCCTCCTGTACAGGGACACGCCCGACGTAAGCGTAGCTGGCGCTTCCCACGGCGCCAGCGCGGGCGCGCGGGCCACGCAGGCAAAGTAGGGCGAGAGGAGACACGAGAACCCAGCACTACAGGAAGGCTGGAACACATAGGTCGAGGTCGGGCGTGTCCCTCTACGGGCAGATTTTGGACGAATAATGAACATAGTCATAAAGTATTCCAAACATATATTCAAACATATAAGAAAAATCGTCGCCAGACTATTTTTCATATTATTCGTTTAAAATATTCCTCCTGTAGAGGGACAGGCTCGACTTAAACCTAGGTCACCTAACTTCGCGCATCGCGCATCGCGCCCTGCGATGCGCGATGACCTTCGCACCCTCGCGCCAGATCCTCGGAGAAGGGCAGCCGCTCTGGCCCAGACTGCAGCGCGCGAAGCGGCGCGGATATCTTCGCGCCCCCTCGGGCGGCCAAAAGAAGCATCTTGGTACCAACTCGGGGCCCCAGTCCCAGTAAGGCATAACGGAAGACTGCGTGCGATCGAGCTTTTAATGCTTTCGCCGGTGCCTTGCAGTGTTTGCCCCCGCTGCGATGACATGAGTACGGCCCTTGCGGTGATGTTGCAACGATCGAAATGAGAGCCGCGCGACAAACTCGCGCTCGTCGCATATTTGTTTTCTGGCGCGGCGAACGGCTAGCTGAAACTCACCGCGCGAGACCCGCTAAGTCGAGCAATCAGCCCAAGAGCTCCAGCACCAGGAGTGGAGCGCATTGGCGAGCTTCAACTTCCAGAAGGCCTCAGTCCTCGGCTCAAAGACAACATATGCTATGCAGTCCCAGATCCGAAGCACCAGGCTGATTCCACCGCGACCGTCGAGCGACGACGTCAATCGAGCGAACATCCTAAAATAGCCCCCAACGAGAAAGCCGCGGCGCAACTTGAGTAGCAGAGCGGCAAGTGACAAACAAAGCAGCAAAGATGTCATCGCATTGGGGTCATATGGGTCCGCCTGAAAGCCGCCGGCATGTCCAGACAAGCATCTCGACACCCTTTCTCCCACTCTCCCGCCGCCACAGCCTCCTTGTCCTCCTTCTCGCCTGGGGCCTCTTGTCCTCGAGCCTCCTCCTCCTCCTCAACATCCTCTGCTTATGCGTTCTTCCTCCTCCCCCTGCTCTTCCTCTCCCTCTGCTCTTCCCATATATCAATGACCCCTCCCTGCCGCACCCCCATACGTGTCGGTGGGGCGGGATCGGCGATTCGCTTGGGCCTTCCTCACCATTAATGATCCTGAAACTTGAGCTCCCCCAACAAATTCAAGGATGGAGTGGGGGGGGGTAGGGGTGAGATGTGTCGCTCGCCTTCGAGCCGCGCGTATATAGCTTCAACATGGTTTGAGTCAGGAGCACGCAAGCGAGCCGACCCAGCAAAGAGGGGATTCTTGGGAGCTCCTCAAGAGTACTTCAGAAGCTCGTCGGGTGTTTGGGACCCGCCTTGCCAGGGCAGTCCGAGGCTGCCTTCGGTGTATGGGGGCGGTCAGGGGGAGATGGTCAGTCTTTTGGGTCGGTCTTGGGCCGTCTTCGGCCGATCTGAGTGTCTCAGGCTCATAGACTCCAAGGGGTTCAGGGGGAAGTAGGACGAATAGGAGGCACGAGTAGAAGGAGGCGGGTGAGCAAGAGGAGGCCGCTCCTCCCCTTCTCCGTCTCATCTGTTTTACTTCCTCCTTCTTCCCTCCCTCCTCCTCCTCCTCCTCTTCCTCCTCCTTGCTTCCTCCTTCTGTTATCATACCTCTTCAGCCTCCTGATCATTATAACTACTTGTCCTCCGCTCCGGCTCCTGCCGTTGCTCCTCCTCCTCCTCCTCCTCCTCCTCCTCCTCCTCCCTGTCGCACCCGAGGCTAGTTTTTAGGGCGGGCCGGGCGTTTCGCCTGAGACTTCCTCACCACCTATGACTCTGAAGCTTAAAAAGGTGAAAACAGCTTCACAGATGGAGGGCGGGTCGTTTTCGAAATGTGGCGCCGCGCACAGTCGTTGAAAATAGTTGCAAGAGTTTCACGGGTTCCCATGATCAGCGTACCAGAAATGGTGTTTGGAACGATTCAGGATCAGGCTGGCGCAACAGTTATGTTGACTCGCGGTGTTGAAGTCCCAACATGGAATTCTGGTACGAGACGCAGCAGTCAGGTTGATACGCGACGTTCAAATCCCGAAAACAATGACTTGGCACGCTTCTGAATCTTCCAACGGTTGTCTTCCAACGAGGCAGTTCCCTCAATGGAAACGAACCGTTGTAGGGGCCTATGAAGAGGGAGCTTGGAGGGAGGGTTAATTCTACCATCGTTGTTGACTCTTGTGTTTACACTGGTCCTTCTCCCCCTCCTCCTCTTTCCACTCCTCCCCCTCCCCCTCCTCCTCCCCCTCCTCCTCCTCCTCCTCCTTCTCCTCCTCCTCCTCCTCAATTTATTCCTTCTCCATCTCATTGCCTCGATTTTGGTGATCACTGCAAAGCCAGGGGCCTTTGGGAGAAAGCCCTTGTCACCGTCGGAGCACCATGATCGCCAGCCTTGCATATTCTCACTTACTCCACTGTTTAGGGCGAGGGGTGTGCATTCAAATGCAAGCATACATACATGTAGTAAGCATACATTTCCACCCGCTGCTGTCCTCCCCACCCTCCCTCGCTTCCTCCACCAGCCAAGGATATAGGGGAAAGGCACGGGGTTGAAGACGGGGAGAGGCATAACACTCTCTTCTGCGGGGCGCTGGGTGCGCCAGGTGTGCCAAGTGCACCAAATGCGCAGGGTGCGCCGGGTAAACTGGGTGCCACACATGCGCCAAGCGCGCCGGGTGCGCCGAATGCGCTGGGTGCGCTGGGTGCGCCCCGCGCGCTGGGTGCGCCAAGTGCGTCGGATGCGCGGGGTGCGCCGGGTGCGCGGAGTGCTCTGGGTGCACCCGGTGCCCGGCGCGCGCCGCGTGCGCCGAGTGTGCTGGGTGCGCCTGGTGCGCCGAGTGCGTCGGGTGCGCCAAGTGCTCAGTGCGCTGGGTGTTCGCCGGCTGGGTGCGCTGTCGATGCCCCAGGCGCGCCGAGTGCGCCGAAGGCGCTGCGCCGAGTGCGCAGTTGCGCGAGCTCACAAGCCACACGTTCTCGACAATTTTGCAGGCGGTCTACATGATTCACCAGCAAGACAGGTCCTCGGAGGCGGAGCGAAGTGCAAGGGTCTTGGAGGGACGGCGCGCGCTCTTCACACCACGGGCATGCTCGCGCACGGCACCCTCTCTGCAAATTGCCTCTGAGTCGAAGATCACTGCGCTGCCCAGCTAGCAAAGACAATATCGCTGCTGAGTAGAGCTGCCCCAGGCCACGGGGGGAAACTACCAGAGCGAAATGATACCAAGGACAACGGAAGAGGAGGAGGAGGAGGAGGAGGAGGAGGAGGAGGAACGAGAACGCGCGGGGGGGCGACACGGTCGGTGAAGGATGGCACAGATAAGCGAGCCATGAAGTTCGGGAGCAACGAAGACGGCCAATGACCCCCCCTGAATGTAGCTGCAGCCGCCGCGCCTTCCCGGCAGTGGCATGAGACAGGCGGGCTGCTGAAACAAGGAACGCTAGATAACCAACTGCTCTTGACATTAATTCCCTGGCGGGTAACAAAATTCGGGGCTCAGGGAGGATGATAATAACCGTTTTCCTGGAGATCTCGGCATAATGATGAAGATGATGACGATGAAGATGATATAGAGGAGCATTATGATGAAGATGAAAATGAAGATGATGACAAGGAGCGGAGCCCCTCGTTGGCCCCCATAGCGCCCGCGTGCACGAGGAGGCGCCAGAGAAGCGGCCACGGAAGGACCTGAGGAACACCGAGCCCCCGCCGAACCCGAGCTGTTCCTCGTATCAGCGTCTGGGCTGTCCTGCTCGACCCCCTTCGCGGCTGCCTCCTCCTCCTCCTCCTCCTCCTGATCCTGATCCTGATCCTGATCTTCTTCCTCTTCCTCCTCCTCCTCCTCCTCCTCCTCCTCCTCCTCGTCCACCTCCTCCTCCTCCTCCTCCTCCTCCTCCTTCCCCCGGTCGCCTACGGCCGATGATGATGATGATGATGATGATGATGATGATGATGATGATGGTGATGATGATGATGGTGATGATGATGATGATGATGATGATGTCGATGATGTTGATGTTGATGTTGATGATGATGATGGTGGTGATGATGAAGGTGTCCCGATGATGATGATGATGATGATGATGATGATGATGACGATGATGATGATGATGTTGACGATGTTGTTGATGATGATGATGATGGTGGTGGTGGTGAGGATGATGGTGTCCCGATGATGTTGATGTTGATGTTGTTGATGATGTGGCTGATGATGATGATGGTGCCCCGATGATGATGATGTTGATGATCATGATGATGTTGAAAATGATGAGATGATGATGAGATGATGATGATGATGATGATGAAGATGATGATGGTGTTTCGATGGTGACGGTGATGTTGATGATGATGGTGATGGTGATGGTGTCCCGATGATGATGTTGATGATGATGATGACGATGATGGTGTCCCGATGATGATGATGATGATGATCATATTAATGATGAGGATGATGATGAGGTGATGATGGAGATTTTGATGATGGTGGCGCGATGATGGTGATGATGATCATGCTGATGTTTATGATGATGATGGTGTCCCGATTATGATGATGATGGTGATGATGATGGTGACGATGATGATGGTGTCCCCGTGATGATGATGTTGATGATGATGTTGCTGATGATGATGATGGTGTCCCAATGATGATGATGTTGATGATGTTGTTCATGATAACGACGATGATGATGATGACACGATGATGGTGATGATTATGATAGTGGTGTTCCGATGATGATGCTGGTGTCCCGATGATGATGATGTTGGTGATGCTGATAGTGACGATGATGGTGTCCCGATGATGATGATGCTGATGATGATGATGATGATGGTGATGAGGTGATGATGATGGCGGTGCCCCGATGATGATGATGATGATGTTGATGACGTTGATGACGATGATGTTGATGATGACGTTGATTGTGAGATCGATTGTGATATCGATAGTGAGATCGAAAGTGAGACCGAATGTGAGATCGATTGTGAGATCGATAGTGGGATCGATAGTGAGATCGATTGTGAGATCGATAGTCAGATCGATTGTGAGATCGATCGAATGAAATAGATCGAGTGAGATCGATTGTGAGATCGATCGAGTGAGATCGATCGAGCGAGGCCGATAGTGAGATCGATACTGAGATCGATAGTGAGACCGATCGAGTGAGACGTTGGTTCCTCCCCCCCCGAACCTCCTTATCATCCGAAGGGTGGTCGTATAGGTATCTTATGTGTATAAGTATGTGCGTATGTATTACCTGCCTGTATATGTCTCTCTCTCTCTCTCCCTCTCCTGTGTCTCTAACACTAACCCTCTCTCTATGTATACCTATACGACCACCCTGCGGGTGATAAGGAGGTTGGGGTGGGAGGGGGGGGCAGCAATGGGCAACCGTGGTGATTGTTGCGTTGCCGCTCGCTCTTGGGACCATCGATCCCACTATCGATCTCACTCGAACGATCTCACTATCGATCTCACTCGATCGATTCCATTATCGATCTCACTCTGGATCTCGCTATCGATCCCACTATCGATCTCTCTATCGATATCACTATTCATCTCACTATCGATTTCACTATCGATCTCACGATCGATCTCACTATCGGTCTCACTATCGATCTCATTATCAATATCAATCGATTTCGTCATCGGTCTCACTATCGTTTTCGCACCAGCGGGACACCGGGACACCAGCGGGACACCGGCGGAACACCGGCGAGACACCGGCGAGACACCGCGGGCCACCGCTTGCCGGAGGGAGAATCATTTGGTCTGGCCGAGACCCAGCCACAAGCGGGACACCGGCGGGACACCGCGGGCCACCGCTTGCCGGAGGGAGAAGCATTTGGTCCGGCCGCGCCTCAGCCACAGGAGACTCTCCTCTCGCCCGCCAACGCAGCTTCGCCTCGCCAGCACGCACGGCACGCACGAACACGAAACCGAAACCGATTCCCCGGTGGGGGGCTCTCCGTTCCACTTCGATCTCACCCCCCAACCTCCGATATACATACATACATATGTACATGCATACCTACATACAAACATATGTTTCTGCCTCCCTGTATATCTGTGTTTCTCTATCTCTCTCGCTCTCTCTCTCTCGGTCTCTCTCTCTCTCTCTCCCACTCTTTCTCGATGTGTACTATTCTTATACATGAGTATACGCCTATCAAGATTGGATTGTCTGCCTCCTGATGTGCTCTCTCTCTCCCTCTCCCTCTACAGACCAACGACTCCCGGGCGATTTGAGACCCTGGGCTTCAACTTCCAAGGCCGAACTGACCGACCAGTTCGACCAGACTGGTTCGAAGACCATGCTGCTACTACTCGAAGCGACGAGCGACGACGACGTCTAAGGCGACGACGACGACGACAACGGCAACGACGGCAACGACGGCTACGACGACCACGACGACGGCGGTGAAGACGACTACGACGCTGACGTTATGGCCCTCGGCGCCCGGGCCCGCGGTCCACGCAGCAGCAGGCCGGCGCAGAGGACAGCTCCTCGTCGCTACCGACGCTGGTGCCGTCGGACTCGGCGAGCGGCAGTGCGGGGAGATGTAGCAGAAAAACAGTCACGTCGGGATTGCATGAGCGCCACGGGAACCGCCAGAGCACCGACCTGACCAACCAGCCGTGGAACTGCCGCCTCAAGGCCAACAATGGGTCGGATCAACACAGTCGGCCCCAGGCCAAAATAACATCCTTCAAGAGCATGAGACCCTCGGCCAGCCAAAACACACAGAACATCCAAGGGTACCCCCCCAGAATGCACAAGAACGTCCCACAAACAAATGTGGACACCCTCACCGAATCGACCTCGATCTACCTCGATCCTACTGTACTCTGGGCCACCTAACTTCGCACATCGCGCCCCGCGATGCGCGTGTACAGTGGAGGCCAGTCCACAAGAAACCTTCCACAAGAAACCAAACCCTGAGACCCCCGGACGTCCATCGATTCTTGGTGTGGGAGCGTCACGCTGTCCACAGCACAACCAACGAAACCCAAAAAACCCAGGGCACCCTAGAGGCAAGCGGGGTGTGGCTTGGCATGGGCATCCGCTGCATTTCCCCGGCCTCGCGCCCTCGCGACGGCACCCTGGAGAGGGGCAACCCGCTTCGGCCCAGGCTGCGCCGCGCCGAGCGCGATGGTCTTCGCGCAACCGCGGATGCTTCCCCTCCTCCTTCAAACTCCTCCTCCTCCTCCTGCTCCTCCTCCTGCTCCCCCTCCTCCTGCTCCTCCTCCTCCTCCTCCTCCTCCTCCTCCTCCTCCCCCCTCCTCCCCTCCCCGGCCTCCTCCCCCTCCCCGTCCTCCTCCCCGTCCTCCTCCTCCTCCTCCTCCTGCTTCCTCCTCCTCCCTCTCCTTCTCTCGCCCCCCCCCCCCTCTCCTCCTCCTCCTCCTTCTGGGACCGTCTTTGGGGGGGTGGCCGACGGAGCCAACAGTTCTGGAGGTCGGGAAGGGTTTGGCATACTGGGGTGTGGTGGCAATCGTGGCAATGGCGATGTGATCTACGATCGACCACATCGCCAGATCCCCTTTTACATGCAGCCAGCCCGTATCGTAAGGACGCGCGGTGAGGATGCAAGGGCCTTGGAGGCCCGTGTGAACATTTTTCGAGCGAGGTTGGCCAGCGAAAGTGGCCGATGATGAGCCGAAGCGGCAAGGGTGCAAGGGCGCCCTTGGGAAGGTTGCCCATCCTTATTATGCAGGTTGACTTGAAACATTGGCACCACACCTCTTTACACCACACCCCTCTCCTACCTCCAGAGCAGTCAAGTCAGCACTCGGGCCTCCTGGCCAACACCCGGGGGAGGACGCTCGGCCGACCCGAACGCAGACCAGACCCGGTCTGGACCCCGAACAACGACAACGGCAACAACGATAACAACGATAACAACGATAACGACAACGATAAGGACGGCAACAACGATAGCAACAGCAACGATACCTATTCCCATCGTTATCGTTATCGTTGCTATCGTTCCGATTATCGCTGTCGCTGTTACAATGGAGGCCAGTCCACAAGAACCCTTCCACAAGAAACCCAACCCTGAGACCCCCGGGCGTCCATCGATCTTTTGTGTGGGAACGTTACGCCTGCCACAGCGAAACCATCGAAACCCAAGAAACCCGGGGCACCCTGGAGGCAAGCGGGGCGTGGCTCGGCATGGGTCTCCACTGTATCGCTGGAGGGCACGGCAAGGGCAGCGAGACCGCAAGGGCCTGCCGCAGAAGAGGGCCTTCCTCCCAAAGGCCCCCCCGCCCCTGGCGCGCTCTGACCTCGACCCTCGACCCTCGACCCTCGACCCTCGACTTCGACGACGACCTCGACCTCGACCTCGACCTCGACGACGACGACGGCGACGTCGACGATGACGATGACGACGACGACGAGCAGCCTCGGCCAGCAGCCGCCCCGCCAAAAAACCGCGCGGAGGACGGGGTGCGCTGGGCGAGCCCAGAGCCGCGCGAGGGCGCAGCGGGCGAAGCGGCATACGAAGTCCAGGCCTGGGCATTGGAAACGGAGCGTGCGGACCTCCGAAGGATTACTCTAGATTTCGTAATAACAGAGAGGGGGTCACACCGCTCCCAGACGAGCAGTTTTAGACCCCCGCGCACCAGCTGTAAAGGGCGGCCTGCTGCCCAGGCCCCACTGGAACCCTCCGAGACAACTCAAATCAGATCCCCCCCTCATGCAAGGGCTCCTAACTTCGCGCTTCGCGCTGCGCGAAGTGCGAATAACTTCGCGCTCTCGCGCCACCTCCCAGGGGAGAAGTGGAGGGTGAGGAGGAATCGGAGCCGAACCGCGAAGCGCGAAGCGCGAATAACTTCGCGCCCTCGAGGGCGCCCTTGCTCATGTGACCCCCCCCCTTTATTACGAGATCCTGAGTACGCTTCTGCCTGGTAAGGCTTCGAGCTGCGCGCAGACAGCCCCCCCCCCCCAGGTAGCCCCAGCAGGCCTCCCAATCAGGTCACCCATTTTCGAGCCCCGCGCCACACGCAGCTCGAGGCGCGGTCGTGGTCGCGCCCGCGGTTCGCCGCCCTGGAGAAGAGCATCTCTCAAGCCGAGGCCATGGAGTGCTGAGTGCGGTTGCCTTCGCACCTCTCGAGGCGCGGCCATGGTCGCGCCCGCGGTTCGCCACCCTGGAGAAGAGCATCTCTCAAGCCGAGACCACGGAGTGCTGAGTGCGGTCGCCTTCGCACCTCCACCGACAGTGAGGCCGAGGTTGAAGGTGACGAGGTGACGTGGAAACGGGAAGTGGAAGTGGAAGGGAATGATGGCGCCAAGATTAGGCATCGACTTCGGTGACGAGAGCTCTCTCATCATGTGGTGGGCATTGGTCCTGGCTCTTCTTCCCCTCCTCATGATCCTCGTCCTCTCTCTCCCCACGCAAGATCTCATTTGTCTCCAGCTCCGTCTCCTGCTATTCCCAATCCTAGCTGGCCAGAAGCGACATCAAAATAGTGTTCGGTTCGCTACCCTCGCGCATATGATCGCAGTGATGCGCGCAGGCTGCTCGTCGCAAACGTAGCGGCAATTGGTCGACCGTGTCTGCGTAGAAGCCAAACAAACTACGCATGGGCGCTTGTGTCGATTATGGGCTTGCGTTGATCGCGGATGTGGTGCTATGTTTTGGGCAACCGGGCAAACTGTCGAATGTGGGTAGATGTAAACTCCATAACAGGCCGTCTTGGCAGCTCCGCAATTTATGCTGCGAGCTTGAACTGCTCTGGTGGATGCCGCAGCTGTAGCTGCTGAGAGAGTCGGCGTGATGGCCATGTCACGGCCGGGGTGTACCATAGCGTCGTCTGCAGTGGCGGTTTCGGGTGTTACATGTCAGCGGCATTCGCCGATTTAAACAAAATCGCATGACAAGTGCAATTGAAGGCCCCGCTGGTGCGCAAATAGTCCCGCGATTGACTGAAGATCTGTAGGTGTCCTGAAGCTCGGGCAAAATTGCGGCTCTAGATTGCGACGGCATTTACTCACTGTATGGCGGTGGGGTCAGCGCTCGTTGCACAGATGGTGGTACTTTCGAAGACGACGAGTAATGTTTATGAGGAACACAACATGCATGGCTTCATGCCCCCCTGCCCCCCCGTTCCCCTTCCCCTTAAGAGAAGAGAGGAGGATGACATCCTCCTCCTGCTTCTCCTTCTTCTCCGCCTCTGCCTCCTCCTCCTCCTCCTCCTGATCCTCCTCCTCCTCCTCCGCCTCCTCTCCCTCCTCCTCTTCCTCCTCCTCGTCCTCGGCCTCCCCCTCCTCCTCCTCCTCCTCCTCCTCCTCCTCCTCCTCCTCCTCCTCCTCGTCACCCTTCTCCTCCTCCTCCTCCTCCTCCTCCTCCTCGGCCTGCTCCTCCTCCTTCTCCTCCTCTTCCCCTCCTCCTCCTCCTCCTCCTCCTCCTTCTCTTCCTCTTTCCCCTCCTCCTCCTCCTCCTCCTCCTCCTCTTCCTCCTCCTCCTCCTCCTCCTCCTCCTTCTGCTCCTCCTCATCATCGTCGTCATCATCATCATCAGCAGCATCAGCATCAGCTCCATCATCATCATCATCATCACCATCACCACCATCATCATCATCATCATCATCATCATCATCATCATCATCGTCATTATCAACAACACCAGCATCATCATCAGCATCATCATCATCAACATAATCGTTGTCGTCGTCATCATCATCATCATCCTCATCAACAGCAGCATAATCATCACCATCCCCGCTCGCTACGCAGAGGAACAGTCGTCTCGGAGGCGGCGCGAGGGGCGCGCGCGACGGGCCGCGAAAGGGAGAGCGGACCGACGCGCGGGACCCGTGCGGCGCACTCAGGAGGCGCCGTCCGACGGCGGCTCCTGGACGCCCAGGGGGGCGTAGCAGCGCCGCAGGCTTGCCTTAGAAAAAGGAGGGCGGAGAGGGAGGGGGCCGAGAAGCTGCAGACCGCCTGCGCATTGCGGGCACGGCGGGGATAAGAGAAGCATCCCCGCTCGCTACGCAGAGGAGCAGTCGTCTCGGAGGCGGCGCGCGGGGCGCGCGCGACGGGCCGCGAAAGGGAGAGCGGACCGACGCGCGGGACCCGTGCGGCGCACTCAGGAGGCGCCGTCCGACGGCGGTTCCTGGACGCCCAGGGGGGCGTAGCAGCCATACCCATGCTCAAAGCCCTTGCGAAGTATCAAGAGTTCGGCGGGCGGCCGCAAGCTGAATGGGCCACCCAGCGGGGCCAGCATTCAGGAAGGAAGCGACAAGGAGGTCGCTAGCGTCGGCGAGGTAAGATACACGGTCCCGAGCGGCTTTAGGCAGTGCCGGAAGCACTTCGGAGGCGGCAGCAGCTTGCAAGTAGCGCTCCGCGCTGGAAGCCTGCCGCCAACGATCACGCCAGAAGACGCGAGGAATGTCATCCGTGGCGGCGCTCCCGAAGCGCAGCACAGGAGCCAAATCGAACCCCGCTGGCGCTCTGGCGAGCGGGACGCCCAGCGCCGAAAGAAGGTGGTTCCACCGAGTTCGGAAGCCCCTTTGACCGAAGGTCAATAGGGGAT